TAAAATTTTTAGGAACTTACTTGGATGAAAGCTTATCATGGGATCTGCAAATAAAAGATGTCTGCAACAAATTAAACAAGACATTCTTTGCTTTAAGGCAAATGAAATCATGCATGGACACAGCAGGTCTACTAGAAATCTATTTTGCTATGGCATATTCACATATATCCCTCAATATCATAGCATGGGGTTGCAGTAATGAATTCATCAGAGTATTCGTAGCACAAAAGCGCATTGTTAGACTAATTTTCAGCATTGAACACCGAGACAGCTGTAAACCAGTATTCGTTAGGGAAAAATTATTACCGGCTCCCTCCATATACATTCTTAAATGTATAGGATTTGCTAGATCTAACATCCATGAACTAGAAACAAACGCAACGGTGCACAGTTACAACACACGTCATGGTGATGTTTTGCGTATTCCAAGTCATAAGTCAACTAAATGGCAAATAAATAAATAAATAAATAAAAATGCACCATATTAATATTCGAATATATCATAACACTTTTAAAACATACACAAACTAAACTCCTTGAAAAAAGAATTGTTTCTATGCGAGCTGTCAGCTAAGAAAAATTTGAAACTCAATGTTGCAAAAACCAGCAGAATGGATCCGATATGACATACATTTTCAATGCCGAATAAACCAATACATTGTGATATGGGTACTCCATTTTCCTGAGAAAATGAACGATCAAATAAATTTTTTTGTAATTATTCATTCATTTTTTTGTAATAAAGCCAGCAAACAAATACATATACAATAATAAGATCGCTCGAATCCACGAATCAAGCATAAAAATGGACAATAATATTTGCCTGTACTGATATAGTACAAGTTATGCTCATGAACCCTAATAAAATAAATCAAAAATAAGAAATTCAACGTTACTGGTATATTACCCATATTGTCATCCAATCAGCCAGAGCCCTCTGTAGTGTATACGACAATGTGCTCTTTCTAATGTCAATGGTTTCCACAAAATTTGTACTTTTGTTAAAATAATTTCAAAATGCATTTTGAGCCTAGTTTTGTTGAAGCTGACTCCCGACAACTTACCAAGAGTCGATTTTGAAATGATCGATGAATTTTACTTGAAAAATTTGCAATATTCTGGTACCGAAATGAAGAATGAAAAATTGAAACGGTAGGTGGTATATTTGTCCCTTCAATTTATATGACATTCATTTCAGACTTTGTCTTTTATGGAAGGATGGAAATTTTGATTTAATTTTTATTTTATCTCGGCCAAGGAGCAGTATGGTGACTGAAAAGAGAAGCAAAAATATGTACAGTGAAATGTAGAATTACTCCAGAACAAATCAATCCAAAAATAATCTGAAAAAATATTTTTCGGAATGTAAACTAATGACACGGAATATGCAGCAAAATAGGCACCCGCCGAGATCTACCTTTTACAAAAAAACGATCTTTAATTAGATAATTGTAACAGTATTCACACCGAGTTGACAAGAATAACAACAAAAATGCCGTCTGTCAAATTGGGTCATCAGATCTGTGGTTGGATATCAAAAACCAATACACTTGGCAACTCCGCTCTAGACACATCAATTTTTTTGGTCAACAGACGCGTCCAATTTAAATTCTTGCTTTTCGAATTATTCTTTTTTATGCAAATATAAAGAGATTTTGGGACCGATTAGGCTTGATAAGTATAATATACCCCCAACTCGATCAGTCTATAAGCAAACCAGTATCATTTTCCATAGCATAAAACAAGCCCATTGTATAATTATTGATGACTCACTTAAACGGGAAAATCATATTGACTTTCTATGCAAAAAATTGTCAACTCGGCTCTACCTTCTTAGCCAGCTGAAAAGATTTATAAGTACAAGTACATTACTAACTGCGTATTACTCACTATTTCACTTCCATTTAATGTATGGAACTCTCTTATGAGGAAAACTCTCTTATGCTCAGAACATTTTTCCGTATGCAAAAAAAAGCACTTCGAATAATAGCTGGAACTTCATTCAACGAACCATGTCAACCTCTCTTCATCTTTTACAAAATTCTGCCTTTGCTTTGTATATTTATTTTAAACACTTTGTTAGAGATCCATAAAAAAATCTTTTTAAAATCTGTTTTGCCCTTAATCAGCTGTCGCCCCCATACGAACGACAACTCTCGGAAGTTGAGCTAAGGACTAACGAGGTCTTACCTTTTAACGTGTGATTCCTAACACGGTTGCAGAATCATCCCAGCTTCAACCAGATAAATTCTCTCGAGAAAAATATCTGGTCGAGGCAGGAATCGAACCCACG